AAAATAAATACAGAGACTATTAAAAAAGATTCCATCTTATTCCAGTCAGAATGCCCATCATCAGGAATACAGATGGCAACAAATGCTGGCATGGATGTAGTGACTGGGGACCACTGGTATGATGCTGTCTGTCCTTGTGTTATGCCACTCCAAGTTGATGATAGAGTACTTCGAGAGCCTTATCCACATCAGGGCTAGGACCCTGCACTTTTTATAGTGTTGTAGTTGTTGTTAATATGTATAGAATTTTTGTTTATGGTATTATTTTCTACCTACAGTAAACTTGTTACAATCATGTTAACTAAATACACTTAACATTCTCCCAGTTAATGTGTATATTGTTTTATAATATGAGATCACCATATTTCAGATATGTAAAGTTAGTAAGAAATTAGTTTTTCATTGTTTCAGAGTTTGAAAACATGGAAATCATTGCAAAGTCTATGATGAGGTGCAAGTGAGAATTTTCATACCAATAATTAGCAAATGGTGTTGAATGTCTTCAACAGTTAGAATAATTCATTTATAAATCCCTGAGGAAATAAATTAACACAATATTTATTCATAAAGTTGTGCTGTAGCAAATTGATAAGGATTAAGCCAACTTGCCTATAATTCTTTTTTGGGTAGAAAATTAAATAAATATAAATTATTATATTCTGCTAAAATATTATGTTTATGTACTGCAACTAAATGTGAATCCTAATATAAGCAATTAAGAAATTCTAATCATTCTCAGGATTATACTTAACTATTAATTTTGAATTATAAATGTGTAACTGTGGATCATGAAAAAATGTAAGTAATAGAATATTGTAAATGTAGTCTGTTGTAACTTGTCTTTTCAGTTTATTGTTTTGTTTCTGAACCTCTTCCACAATGTACATGGCTGTAATTCAATTCACATTTACTTTCTGTCTTATTATTCATAAGGTTCAGGCTGTCTCCAAAATCTTAATCTAATAGCTAAGACTACCATAAATATTACTCAGTACATATCACTGGACATTCATAGAAGAGCTTTTATGGGAAATTAACCTAGGTGTGGAATTAGGAGAAGGATTTAATTAGACAACATTATTCTTACAAACCAGTTGGACATATTTGCAAACTTATGTGTAGAATTCTTCCTCGTGTACACCTTTTCCAATACTTGATATTTCCAGGCTTCGTAATTTTTGTCAGACTAATGAGTAAAATATACTACTGCATTGTGCATTAATTTTCATTTTGCTGGTTATTAAATGGAACATGTACTTTTTACTATAGGCAATTTATATTTTAGCTACTGTGAAATAACATTTCATAAATTTTTCCATTTTACTCCAAAATTGTTGATCTTTGAAACATAATTCCTCTGAGATTCATCCAAGCTGTTGTATAGCTCATTAATTTGTTCATTTTTATTGCCGAGTACTTATCAATTTGCTTTTTAAAAAGTAAGTAAATTCACCAATGAAATCATTTGGACCTCAAAATTTCTTTTTTGGGGAACACTTAACTTGCTAATGCAATTTCTTTAATAATTTTACGGTTTTATCTGTATTATTTCTCTTTAGATGAGTTCTGGCTGTTCATGTCGTCTGTGGAATTGTTCTGTTTCATCTCAGCTGTTTATCTTACAGTCATAAAGTCATTAATATCATTTTACTATTCTTCTAATGATGGCAGGATCTGTTGTGACTTCTTCTGATCCATTCCTGTGATTGTCGTCTCCTCTCCTGTGCCATTGTTCATCTTGTTACATAGGTGCTGATCAGTTTTACCGATTCTTTTTAAATAATTAGAGTTTTGATTCATTGAACTCTAATATTGTTTTTCTGTTTGCAATGTCACTATTTTCTGCTTTTATCCTTTTATTTTGTGGCTTTATTTTGAATTTGTTGTGCTCTTCTTTACTAGTTTTTTTTTTTTTTGAGGAAAGAAGTCCTATTATCGATTGAGCTATTTTATAGTCTATAATTCAAGTAACAATTTGTTGTGCATTCCATTCCCTCAGCATTGCTTAGCTTAATCTCATGTTTCAGTGTGTTATATTTGTATTTTCTATCAATTATATATTTTTCTCCTTACAGTTTCCTTTGAATTTTCCTTTTGGTCTCATAGATTACTTTAACAGTGTCCTGCTTAAATCTGTTTAGAGATTTTTTCCATCTCTTACTTAAATTTTTTTCAGAAAATATTGTTTTTTCCAATCCCTCAATATCTTTCCATCCCTCAGTCCAAGATCCTCTTCACCTCCCTACATACCCAACTTTATGTTCTTTCTCTTTCTTTAAAAAAAAATCCCCAGAAAAAATTGAAAATCAAGACAAAGAAAAGATAAGACAAAAATGCCAAAACAAAATAAAATGAAACAAAAAGTCCACAGAACAACCATGGAGTTCCTCTAGTGTTGGCCAGATTCTCTTGGGCATGGGCCTGCCCTGGAGTGTGGGTGATACTTCGTTGATAAAAACTTATTTTCCCTTTGCCAGCAAATGTCAGTTGCAGATAGCTTCTAAGTTAGAAATGGGACCCTGTGTCCACCTCCTCCTCTCAGAGCTGTGACCCCCTTCTGGTTTAAACCTATGCAGGTCCTATCCATGTTGCCACAGTCTTTGTGAGTTCATAAGTACACTACTCTTGTTGTGTCTGGGAGACACAGTTTTTCCTTGAAGTCATCCATAACCTCTGGCTCTTACAGTCTTGACAAAACCATCACCCAACTAGAACTTTTACTCCTGCTAACTTTCCTGGTGCTAGGAGGCACTCAGCCAGCTATAGGAGGAGAAAGGTAATCATCACTTTCATCCGGGTACAAACTCCGCAGTCTACAACAGTAACCTGCCTACAAGATAAGCTGGTGCAGTAGTGGAACAAATGTAATGGAGGTAGCCAACTACTTTCTGATTGGATTTAAGGACCACTCCATGGGATGAAACCCATACTTGATATTGCCAAAGTGGCCCAGATTCTGAGACTAGCTAGTTCTGGCACCTGGGGAAAACCAACTACTATTCTTCTACTAAAGGAGCACAGTAATAAAATGAATCCTGATGATATATTGCTCTGCCCATAGATCAGTGCTCCCCTTCCTTACTCCTTCTCAGAGAAGCTTTTCCTTGAAGTAGATGATAATTAACATAGAGACTCACAACTGGAAGCTGTGAAATAAGTGAGAGGCTTTAGATCACTCAATCCCTCACTAAACCCCTCCCCTGAAGGTTCAAGGATCAATGTGAAAGAAGAGACAGAAACATTTTAGATATTTTCCTTACTATCTTGTTTTGAAGTTCTGGCAGGGGATTGAAGCTACTCCTATACTTATGACTGACCATGAGTCCTCCTCTATGGCCAGATACTGCTCAACTAACTGCAGTTTCAGGTGGGATGCTTAGGGAGTGGTGAGGGAGGAAGGGATATCCACCTAGCCAACCAAGTTAGCCAAATCAACCCTGACAATCTGTAGGGTGATAACTGTCACACCAGATTGCCCTCAAATCCATAGATCTTCTGTGAGATTTCTAGCTAAAGTTGCCCAGATTATCCTAGGATCTGAGAGCACATTATCTTGTGTTTTGTCAAGAGTCAGGCATGATTCACCTTCTTTGCTTCCCATGGGTAGGAATGTTAAAATGTGCCCCCACTACGGTATTTCTTCAGTGTTGGATCAGCAGTCAGCTTACCATTCTGTTTATTTCTTTTAGCATCCTACAGTGTTGTCTCTTGAATTATTTCTAGAGTTTGTTTCTACTTGGTGCAGAATAGGAGGAGCAGAGGTCCCCCAACCCCATTTCTGTGGGTAGCATATCTCTTAATACAATTGAGGACTTTCTATATTTAATTGCATTTCTATAGTTATTTTATGATATTGTAATATAGAATGTGATAGAAATGTACTTTATATTTATATGTATGGCATAATTTATTAGATGGTGCTTTTTCCAGTGACTTTTAGTATATCTTTGCCATTTAGCTAGTATCAAAATGAGTTACTATTTTATTTCTGTAACAAATACCCAAGGAAAACAATAAAGTCATACTTTATTTCAGTGTTTCAGAGAGTTCACTTCCTGGCCAGCTGGTCCTACTGATTCTGTTTTGTTTAGAGGGACAGCATCATGGCAAGAGGATGTGGTAGAGCACAGCTGCTCACCTCATGCAGCCAGAGAGCCAAAAAAGATAGAGGTCCACAGAAAAGACATAGATCTCAAGGACACATACACAGGGTCTCACTTTTGCTGACTTGGTCCACCTCTGAAATTTCCTGTTATCCCAGAAAACATCACCAAGATATGATGTATCAATAGATAAGCCATTGACTAGGTCAGATTTTTCACGTCCCATCAGGTTGCAAGGATTGGATTTAATAGGCAAACACCAAGCCTTCAAGAATGAGCATTTTCTGGGGGTACCTTATATCCAAATTTTACTATCACATATACATATTTTTCTTTCCAGACTTTCCATTGACGATTTTTTTTTACTTCTGTGGCAATAGTAAGCTTTGTATTTATTACACTATGTATATTATATAGATTATATTTGTATAATATGATGTGGTATATTATAGTACTATATTAATATTATATAATATACAATTCTCCCATATTTAATGATTGATTGTATCTCAGAACCTTTCAATCTTATTTTTCTTCTTCAGTGGTATTTTTTATCTATTCTTATACATTTATTTTTCTATGTATAATTTGAAAATGTTTGCCAAATTCCTTAAAGTGTTTCTTTTCTCATGACTTTTATAGAAAATGTGTCTGATTGATTCATCAATGAGAAGGTTCTCCATCTCTAACATTGTATCTTTCAATGCTTTAATTTCTGTGGTTAATTGCCCCATTTTGCCTTGATTTTCTTTCAGTGTCTTGCATTAACCTTTAAAACATTTTCTCCATGCAGATCTTTTACTTGTTTGTGTGAAATGTAATTTTAAATATTTTATACTTTTGCTGTTGTAAATGATCTTTTAAAAATTAATGACTTGTTTCTTTCTTGGCTTTAAGGCCTCCTTCAACAGAATCCAAGATTGTGCTAATACACTCAGTACAAGACCATCGCTTTGCCCAACTCCATGCCTCTGTCACCAGGAGTGGAGAAGAACCTCTCAAACTTGGAATAAGACCACACCTCAGCTGGGCTCCATTAGCAAAAGACAGCAGAGTACAGGGACACCCAGAATGAGACCACCCAAGTCATCTTGTCTCTATCAGCCTGCGCCAAATGGAAGATTCTGAGCAATCCATCTTCCTCAGTTTTCCTTCCTGCATCCTGTCTTTTTATCAACACCCTTGCTCTTCTTCCTTGTTCTTTCTGGACTTCTGAAGGAGCCCAAGATTCTCAGCTCATCATTTATTGTCAGAACTTTAATCTCACCATATCACCCTTTCTGACCAATCAGTCTCTATTTTCCTAACTCCTGAAACTGTTGTACTTAATGGACTCAAGTTGAGTTTTCATGTTCTGTTGTAGAGCCCCCTCTGTCCTGTGCCACTGGAAATCATCTAGTTGCTCCAGTGGGGTCTTGGCAAGTGGTTAGCAGTCAGTTCTTTAAAGAGAGGCATGAGGTGGACAGTGATGATGTTCGAAATACGCCTCAGCAGTTGAAGCTACTAACTCTACTGATTTGAACTGGAAACTGGTGCTCACAGTCAGGCTCCTGAGCCAGCTCCAGCAAGCCATGTCTTGAAAGCACCATCAGAGTTCTTTATTTTCTCTATACTCAGTCAGTGGCACTGGACCTTAGCTTCCTTTTGCTACTCCAGCCCTGGTCCTTCCCTGTTTCTTGACTATTCCTTTCCTTGAATCCCATTTTGATCAGATTATCCCACTCATAATAATTGCTTATTATAGGCACATCTTTTCTAGTGATTTTTTTATAAATGGAAAACGGTGACTCCCTGAGACATTGCCATTTTCTTTATGATTCCTACCTAACATTTAATGATTTAAATGTTCTCATGGACAATGCTTCCAACACCTTGGACTTTGAACTTCTTGACATTTGTCCCCTGTGACAACACATCATCATTCGCAGTCACTCATTCTCACAGACATTTCTTAGGCCTTGTTGCTGCTCATAAATGACTCTTAATTTCATATACTGTTTGTGCCTCACTCCTGAACCCTGCCTATAAATCAGCATTCAGTTTTTATATGTTTTTATCACTCCCTGTGTGTGACAGGGCTTTGAGTTCTATAGACACATTCCTGACTGTAATTTACATTATGTGGGACCATCTCTTCACTGAGCTCTGATTTTAAGTACCCAACAGCCCACATGACTGCTGATCAGATACTGATTTCCTGTCACAGTTGTCTCCATTTACTTTTCCACATCTGTTAAAGGAATGCCACCCTTCCCATTCCTTAGCCAAAACCCCTCTGCACTTAATCTGAGGTGTCTGTCTGTCTCCCCTCGCTTTTAATATGAAAAATTATTTTTTATGCTCTTGAAGATTTTCTTTCTTTTTGTACCACCAGCACTGTTTCCCTTTCTTCCTCCTCCCCTGTCTCCAGACCCCACTCTAGCTCTTGCTCGTGTGATTGTGTTCTTCATCTGTTACTAAGATTATTGTAGAAACCTCCTAACTAGTCTCTGCTTTGTCCTTATTTTCCCATAAACACAGTAGCTAGAGCCATCATTTTAAAAGGGCCAACTGATAACCTTCCTTTGCTGAAATCTTTTCAGTGACCTTCTGTTTTAATGATAGTCACAGGGAATTCCAAGCATGATGACTTCTGAGGCTTTCTGCCTTCCCTCCTCTTCACCTCTCTTCCCTGTTCTCCTGGTACGTATTGCATCCATAGTCTAGCCTTCCATGAATTTCTAGAACACTGTGGATATGCTCCTTTCTTGGGACATTTGCATTGGAGACCTTGTTTGTGTTGTTCACTTGGACACCTTAAGGTCTCATGCCCTTATCTCCAGTTAACCCAATTCCCTTTAATTTTCTTCCATAGCTACACAATCTAATTATATTTAGTTATTGTTTATTTTTAAGATAGGGTCTCATTATGATATAGCTCTGCCTAGTCTTACACAAAAAATTATCCTGCCTTAGCCTCCTCAGCACAGATATTTGTGTTCATACCATCACTCCCAGCCCAGTCTAAACCATAATGCGCTTACTTATTCCTGGATACTTCCTCCCTCTCTTTCCCACTCTACTTTCCCTTATGTGCCTTACATGTCCATATGTTGTGCTGATCAACTTGTTCATCGTGATTCTTGTCACTAAAATGTCAGTGCCATAAGGGCAAGAAAGTCCAGTTTTTTATTTAGTTCTGTGTTGTTTCCAGTACCACAGACACATCTGGAAAATAGATGTCACAGTTTTGCTCATCTTCATGAGTGCATAAGTAAAAGTGTGTTCTGAGATTGTTATATAAAATACATTTGCTTAGCAGTAATTGATCCGAAATAGTTACCTTTTAAGTTTTATTTTTCATATGGTTTGTAGTTTGGTGGAACTTCCTACTAAGTAGTGATATCATCTGTGAATAATGATAATTTTCCTCAGTTATAACTGGAAATTTTTGTTTTGCTTATGGTTGAGTATTGTTTAGAAGGTCCAGAAAGTTATTATATATGTAAATAGGCATTACCACCCTGTTAATGTAGAAAGGAATGCTTCTGATATTGCAACACAAGAAATATTTGTTTCTTGTGTTTATTAAGTTTTTTGTGCTTCACCATGAATGTCTAACCTTTTAATAATATGTTAATGACAATTTGTAAATCATGTTTAAGTGTTAAGATTTTATTTCATCATGGATATTGTGTCTTCTGGGTCTGAGATGATTTCTCCCATTAATATTTCAGTGTGGTAAATGCAATTGTAGATTTTCTAAATAAATGTTATTTTCCATATCTAGAATAAAACTAACCCATTCCTTGTGTGTGATTGGTTTGTGTAGTGCTGGATATCACTATAATTGTTATCACTTGCCTCACTTCTATTAGGAAGGTCATTTCTATACTGTAAGATTAGTCTTGAGCTTCCAAAAACTGTTATCCTTTGAAATTTTGAATTAACTGAATAATATCTTTAAATATTCTTTAGAAAGGTTTTAATATCATGAGACCTTTATTTTATATGTACAGTAGAAATTTCAGTAAAGCTAATTAGAAACTGTACTTGGAAGATTTTACATTGTCACTTCTGGCTCCTTTTTAATATAAAAAAACTGTTGAGTTAGTCATTCTTAGATCAACTCTGGAAAGTTATGAAGTAACAAGTTTACATTAATTTGGACATGTTGTCAACGTTTTGAACTTACCAGTTTGCAGCTATTGGTCACATTTTGTCATCTGTTCACTTGCCAGTGACCCACTGTTACAGCTTTTCTTGTTGGTGAGCTGTTACCTTGCAATCCTCTTTTCCAGGCCATAAGGGCATCCTCATTCCTCAGCCATGTTCCTTGGTCTGTGGTGACTTTACTGGTACTTCTGAGTGTTGTCATTATTCTGTGCTTCTGTTATTTCCTGTTCTTTACAGGCCTTGAGTTCATTCTGTTCCTTATAGTCAGTCTTCCATGGGTCATACATAGTTAGCTAATTTTAACCCACTATTATAAGTATTTTGTATTATAATGTCCCTTCTAAATACTTTTATCTAATTTTTCCATACAATGCATTTAGTCATATTCATATTTGCCCTCCCCTAATTCCTACCATATACTCCCTATACATTTAATTTCATTCTTTCTCTCTCAACCTAAAATATGATCTTAAGTGTGTATGCTCAAGAAGTACATGTATTTCCTCATTTGGGGGTACAAAGTTTTATATGTATATAATACAGCTTGATTCTTATATATCATTCTTATCTATGACATAAACCAAAGCAAGATCAAGCCAGACAAAATCCCATCATGGAGGAAGGGAGGTAAGCAATGCTGAGAGTAGGGCCAGAGTGCAAACAGGATGAACTTGTGACATGAAATAGGAAGAATCTTTCCATGTTCTCACCAATGTGTGTTATCATTACCTGCAGGATAGATGGAAATATTTGCCATTACTGTTTATAGTGTTTCTTTATTCACAAGTGAGTTGAGATTCTTCGAAGTATTATAGAGAATTTGGAATCCATACTTTTTTATTTATTTCTTTAGGAGTTGGGGAGGGAGGCATGTACTACTCTGTGCCTCCTGGAGGTCAGAGAAAGAAATTAATTCTCTATTTCCACCATATGGATCCTTGGGGTCAAACTCACATCTTAGGCTTGGCAGCAAGTGCCCTTAACTGCTGAACCATTTCACTGGCCTGGTTCTCATTTTTTAACTCTGTGTGTGTGTGTGTGTGTGTGTGTGTGTGTGTGTGTGTGTGTGTGTGTGTAAGCCAGAAGACAGTATTTAGTGTCTTTGATTGCTGTCCATTTTATCTGTTGAGACATGTTCTCTCAATAACCTGGTGCTGTCCATTTTATCTGTTGAGACATGTTCTCTCAATAATCTGGTGCTAACCCATTTCCTAGATTGACTAGTGAATGAGCTCCAAAATCCTCTTGTCCACTCCACATTTCTCTCTAACACAAGGTTACAGATATGCCCAACAATGCCAGGCTTTTAGGTGGGAGCTGAGTGTCTGAATTCATACATGCTCAGCAAGCACTTTACCCACTGAGGCTTTTCTGCAGTTCCCAGAGTTTTCCTTTAATAAAATGGCTGTGTTGTTTGTTTTCTATGAATTTAATCAATATTATCACTCTCTCTAGACAGGATTTCTCTATGTAGCCTTTGCTATCCTGGAACATACTCTGTAGACCAGGCTAGCCTCAAACTCACAGAGATCCGCCTGCCTCTGCCTCCCAAGTGCTGGGATTAAAGGCGTGCGCCACTACCACCTGGCTTTAGTAAGTTTTCTTTATTGAATAATGGCATGAAGTTTCTGTCCTCCAGCTAATTTCAAAAATAATGTTGACAGCTGCAATTGTTTTTACATTGGTTTATGATAATATTTAACATACATGTATAAAATTTGTATTTTATCATCATTTTAATTTCACTGATTTTTAATATTTTCATAAGACATTCTCATCATGGGTTACTGATTACCAAATTTTTCTTCTAGAATTTTTGTGATTTTATATATTATATTTACTTTATCCTAGACTTATTTGTTATAATTTGTATGAAATGTTACAATCCATCTATTTTCTTTAATGAATAAGAAATGGTTAATTTTCCCAGTATATACAAATCTGAGAAAACCTATTATGAATGCAGAGAAAACATACTCCTAAACTTCCCATACTGTGTTATCTCTAACTAGTTACAGTTTTGATGGTGCCTTTTCTATGCTACCAATTTTAAAAGTCCATAACCTATTTTTTATTTTTAAAATAATTTGTTTCTTAAAGAACCAAAGTATTTAAATGAAGAGTATTCAATACTGATTTTGAAATGAATGCCACTGGATTTGTGAATGTAAGGACAGAGCTTATGTGTAATCCTGTATGTGCCAGTTCTCTGTGTAATCCTGTGTTAACTGTGGGTAGTTCCCATGATGTGCCAGCTCTCTGTGTAATCCTGT